CGGGCCTCTGACATTTGGCAGGCTGAGGAGGTGAACGATAGATCGACTTTTGCCCCCTGCTAGAATCAATTTGGCACAACGGGAGAGTGAAAAAAAGAGGCACAAATGCATAATGTGTTTTGAAGACAAACCGCTTTCCAGATAAAAAAAAGGTGTGGGAGGATGATTTCTCAGTGGAGAGATGCTGTAGCCGCGGGGAGTGGGTGGAGGAATCATAACCCGGGACGCAGACTTCAGCTTGCACCGTTGTCGCACACAACCCAGATGCCTCGTGTCACATGCCCTTGGCTACAAGCGCTTACAAACCATCACGCTTTGTCACTACATACTGTCAAATATGCCTGTGTTACCCATCAGCTATTATTAGGTAACTATTCATATGCCAAACTTGAAAACTGATGATCAGACAACATTAAAGTGTAATTCCCATCAGGCCCCCATAGTGTAACTAACGTGCAGTCAGTCTCCAACTCTCATTATCCACTCTGTCTCTCTGGCCTCCGTATTTACGTGTTATGAAGTAGAGCCATTGCCCGAAACGTCAACTATTATTTATTTCTCGGTGTTGTTGACGAATGTGTTGTTGCCTTTTCGTTATGAATACAGCTACAGGGGTGTCCTACTCAGCATCAGCGCCATTGCCACAGCCCCCCCCCCGCGTCCCTCAAGCCCCCACCCCCCAGCCCCCACCCCTTCCACCGACATCATGGAGCCCCTCCCCCCCGCCCTTCTAGAACGGTGGTGCCACACGTGTCATGAGGAGTGGGTCAGGTCATACCACGTGTTTGAGTGATGGCCCATTGGATGCGTCCTGACACGCGGCAAGGACACGTTGGCGCGTGCTCTCTTGAGACAACGGCCATGCCATGCAACGCTGCAAAACGACCAAATAAATAAACGTCGCCTGCCAAGCCCAACCATTCAGGGAGCTTTCAGTCAAATTTTAAAAAATGACTCTGGCCACCGCTGTCTCTGGCCCTCTCTTTCCACCAGGATGGCCAGTCACACGCTGCATTCGTCAGAAGTCAGCAACACGAGCATGAAGTAGATCCATAGGATTAAACGGCATGTGCGCAAGGTTGAAATAATCAAACTAATGCTCCACAAACAACAGGTGCAAGTTATGGAGATGAACATCTGTTAGGATATATTTTGTAATAAGTTAAAATCCGGCAAACAAAATTCCAAAGTGACTCGTATGCATTATTTTTAAGTGTCCCCATGTGCACAGTATACACAAGATTAGCAAACTTCTATGAAAAATATCTAATAGTAATTTTCTATGCCTCGAGTTTCCTGGCTGCCTACTGGCTGGGCTCCTGTCCACTCCGACAATAACTCACCTTCCCTCCATAAACCACGACGTCTTCTCGATAGAGACATCCAGTGTGTGTGGGTATGGGAAACGAAATCATTAACAAAACACACATTCGCCTGCGTTCATGGACCAAATAATGTAATGGTCATTTAGTGAAAAACTAAACATGATCACGGTTGTTTGCTTCCGATGGCTTTACTATGTAATGTTGGTGGCAGCAGTGTAGACCCACGTCTACAGCTTTGCTGATTTTTGTTACACGTGATTTCAGTGGCCTGCCCGGTCGACTGCAGTCTCCTGCCTCTCCCCATCTGGCTCTGTGCGTGGGTAACTCTGCACGAGGGCTATGGCCACGAGACCAGAGCAATGCATCCCACACAACTATCCGACCAGACAATGCACATATATAAAATAGCCGCGTACAGGTAAACTTTGCCCAACGCGGCTTTACCTAACGCGTGTTTGGGCTATACGCGGTTTAGCTAACGAGGTCTGTTTTACGAAACACGGGGGTGATGTTTCGACTCTACGCGGCTCAGATTTTTCTTTATCTCCAAATCGACAAGTCGTGACATGAGAGTGCTACTGCACCCGTTGGAAGCAGTGAACGAATCGACTGTGAGAGCGACTGATTTACCACGAATGTGTTTTGTGTACGTTTCTAGCGCGTTTTTGTGTTGTTACGTAACACACACTCAACACACACAACAGCACATCGCAAATGTTCACATTGCCGCATGCATCTTGCCGTCAAGTTAAGGATGTCGAGATGGCGAACCATGAACGTTCAAGTGACAGCATCAGGGAGCGAGCGTCGGGCGTGAGGGCGGGAAGAGGAAAGGCGATGGGGATTTTGTGTTGAGGAGACATTAACAACTCAAGTGAGTTTACTTGCACAAGCAATCGAGTGCGGCTCAGCATCCCTGAGTGCACTCACAAGGGTGGACATCCTGTCGAGTCAGTTCTACAAAGTGGGAGGGGGTGATCATTTTGGACCCAGGAACGCAACCCAATGTTTCCCATGAGGCCTATTATTTGTCGAACGCGGTTTTGCCCAAAATGGCGTTTTCCAGGAACGTAACCCCCGCGTTCAGCGAGGTATGTCTGTATTTGATATGTAGTCGAATCAGCAAGGACGAGTAGTGGACAATCCACAGCATATTTAAACGAAGCAAATTTATATAATAAATTACTTATATATTTATCATTGAACATGTTTAATGGTTCTTCATTTGATGTGTCCGGGATTGTTAAACACATTAATTATTGTACATTGCCATTCATCAAACATATGTTTCCTTTTATATTGTCAAAAATCTAACATAGGAATGCTAAGTTATATTATTATGTGCAACAATATCTTTCTTTATTCTACAATTATTTGGAATATTCTGTCGATAATTGAGGATACATGAAAATAAGTGATGCAATATATCGTCGATAATTGAGGATTTATTAAATAAGTTGATTAAATATGTTGGCGAGAATTAAACACACTGAAGAATCAAATATAGCAACGAATCTCGTGCCGTAGAAGAGGTGGGAGTAAGGAGTAGAAAAGACGGACACGGTTAATTTCAAAATACTCAAACTTGCCAATTTGTCTTACTGTTAATGCAATGTTCTTTAAATCCTTGATAATTTTAAACGAGTGAAAATACACATTATCGTTGAGTTTCATCACGTATAAAAGACGATTACTTGTCGTGCTCCGAGCCCGGGTGGATTGTGGGAAGTGTGAGAACGACAGCTGCCTCTCATTCCTCGTTACAGATCAACGGGGTCTCTACTGATATTGACATACTTAGTGATGGTTTCTTGATAATTAACTACTTAGTGACGCAAAAGCCATTGTTGTACATGCACTCGTGTGCTCCCACTTCGATCCTCTGCGCCTTCACCGACACGCACTGACCAGCATGGTGAAGTATGGTAACAAAAGACAATCCAATTGCTGACGCACGTAAACAATGGCTCGCAATCCACAGCAACTCTGGATCAGTGATAATTATTTGAACCGGGGATGGGCCTCCTTTAGGTCGACTCAGCCTTTAATGAGCACCTCATGCAGTGTGTAAGGAGCCGTCCATAAATCACGTCGCGCACCTGGGGGGGGGGGGGGGGGGGTCAGATATTTGTGACGATGTGTGACGATGGGGGGGGGGGGGGGTGAGAGATGTGACGTCACATCAAAATGCGCAACTTTAAATTAATATAGACAACACGTTTCACTTAATTAAATAAACTTTTTAATAAATGTTTTCTCCTACACCATCAGAGTGCAGCGCCACATTAAATACGCACTACAATGACATTAGATTCGATTTGAAGCATTTTTTGGGGGGGGCGGTGGGCAGAGCTTTGTGACGTCATATTTGAGGGGGGGGTCTGACTTTTTGTGACGCTGTGTGACGAAGGGGGGGGGGTCAAAAATCGTCCAAAATTGCGTGACGTCATTTATGGACAGCCCCTAACCACCATCAGCACTGAGGAGACAAAGGCGGTCGGGCGTGGTGCTAATCCCGGCCACACCACCATTTCTCGCGCACAATTCCAGCCCGAATCTGTGCTCGCTAACGCCACTTGCCCCAACAGCCCGTGCAGGCTACACGGGTGAGCTTTGCCTTTGGTGTAATGGGGCGATGGGAGTCGGGGAGTCCGAGAGGACCGCGAAGTGGGAGTCGAGGGGGGGAGGAGGGGGGGGGGAGGAGGGGGAGGGGGGTGAGGAGGGGGGTGAGGAGGGGGAGGGGGGGTGAGGAGGGGGCGGGGGGTGAGGGGGAGGAGGGGGTGAGGCTTGTGCGGGTGGGGGGTGAGGCTTGTGCGGGTGGGGGGGTGTTGTGTTTGGATTCGAATGAAGGGGAGATGGGAGGTTTTTTTTAATGTCGGGGGTTATTGAGCTTGGGGTTAGAAGGAGAGATCTGTGGGTGGAGTGGGGGGTGGGGGGGCGTTGTGGGGGGGTTGTTGAGGATGGGCGGGTCGCGATGCTGGGGGTGAGGGGTGGTGGTGATGGTGGTGATGGTGGTGGTAGTCGCGGCTGTTCGGAATTCTGGGTGGTTGTGGTGGTGGGGGTAGTTGGGGATGAGTGGTGGGGTGCTGACGAGGGTGGTGGTGGTGGAAGGGATGCTGGGAGGTGGTTGTGGGTGGTGGTGGTGGGTGGTGGTGGTGGGAGGGATGCTGGGAGGTGGTTGTGGGTGGTGGTGGGTGGTGGTGGTGGAGGGATGCTGGGAGGTGGTTGTGGGTGGTGGTGGGAGGGATGCTGGGAGGTGGTTGTGGTGGTGGTGGGTGGTGGTGGGAGGGATGCTGGGTGGTGGTTGTGGGTGGTGGTGGTGGTGGGATGCTGGTGGTGGGGGTGGTGGTGGTGGGAGGGCTGCTGGGTGGTAGGGGTGGTGGTGGGTGGTGGTAGGGGTGGTGGTGGGAGGGATGCTGGGTGGTAGGGGTGGTGGTGGGTGGTGGTGGGAGGGATGCTGGGGGGTGGGGGGTGGTGGTGGGGGGTGGTTGTGCGTGGTGGATGGTGGTGGGAGGGATGCTGGGGGGTGGGGAGTGGTGGTGGGGGTGGTTGTGGGTGGTGGTGGTGGGAGGGATGCTGGGTGGTGGTGGGGGTGGTTGTGGGTGGTGGTGGTGGGAGGGATGGAGTTGTGGGGGAGTTCGAGGCGTCCCCACGCGAGACAGGAAACCGCGGAACGCCCTCGCACCCCACTCGGGCTGAGCGCCTGCGTGGGACACACTCCGGAGGAGGAGGCTTCGCGCTCGCTCGCCCTCACCACGAGCTCACCCCTCACCACGAGCTCACCACGAGCTCACCCCTCACCACGAGCTCACCACGAGCTCACCCCTCACCACGAGCTCACCCCTCACCACGAGCTCACCCCTCACCACGAGCTCACCCCTCACCACGAGCAGCAGCATCAGCATCATCATCAGCGAGCTGCGCGCCCTCGCCGTCAGGCTGGTAAGCGGCACGTGGTCACCCCAGGGGCACATCCTGCCCGCAGCCCGCGTGCTGCAGCGCACGTGGTTGTCATTGGCGCACCCAACCGGTTGTCGGCATTCCACCAGTGCACCAGTTCGATTCGATCTCCAGGGGCGGCGTTTGAAACAATGTGCAAGTTTATGTTTTTATTTTGTTAACTTCCAAACCACCAAACGCAGTTCAGCGTCCATGTCGATGCTGGGTCTGAATCTCGGTGGGTTTCGTCGCGGGGTGGCGGGGTAGAGTGCGGGGTGCTCCCACCTCGACCCGCTGTGGTGGTGAGCGGGTGAAGAGTCGGCCGAGGTCGCTCTCGAGAGGACGACGTCTCCTGTCGGAGTCCGTTCCGCCAGCAGCGGAGCGAGTCGGCAGTTGCAGCGCTGCGCCTTGCAAGCTTCGGGGGTGCCAATGTGTCACGACTGGAGGCATTCGTGCGTGGCTCACGTGGATTCTGACAACGTGAACCTCTGGCCTGTCTTGTGTGGTGTGAAGAAGAAGGGCCGTCGTCCGAAACGTCGCCTCGGTAGTGTTACTGACGAATATGAGCGTTGTTGCAATGTTGTGATGTGCAGTGATTGTGTCTTCCAAGTTGAAGCATCACGTTTGTACGCATGGCTCTTTAATCAGCACTGTCATAGTATCTATTTTTTAAAGTGCATTTTGCTTAACCAGGTGAGATCTTTCCATTCTAAACTAATCGTAGAGAGTGTAGAACACGTGTACTAACTCATGGATGCACACGAAGTTTTGAGAAGGCATTGCAATGTGTTAATTCCAGTAGGATGAGTATGTGGAGATGATTGTTAGTATGTGGAGATGATTAGTGGTATGTGGAGATGATTGTTAGTACGTGGGAATGATTCGTATGTGGAGATGAGGCTTCGATGTCAGCCCATCATTGAGTTGGTGAAAAATATAGTGCTCCATTATAGAGAGCGTGTGTGATAAGGGTGCCGATAAATATATTTAGTGTCCAATTACAAAGAAAAGTGGACTGTTTTTCTCGTATGTCCCACTTGATATTGGCAATTGCATTGCTCCATTAGACCAGAGGGCACGAGACACAAACATAGTGCATGTATTACATCCATATAGCCCTTGTGTCAATTCACTGGTGAATGAGGGCCTCCCACACGCCTGGGTTGTTTGACCATACTTCACCACGCCGGTCAGTGCGGGTTGGTGGATGGGAGCACCCCAGGACTGACTGAGCTCAATAATCCGCCAATGATGTTAGTCGTGGCTTGGAATGGAACTCGGGTTTATAACTCGGTGTGTCAACCACTGCATCACTGCTCCATACAAGACGATCGTGTTTAGTAGGGCGCTATAATCAGGCACTAGAGGCAGACCCTTTGCATATGATATTGCTCCATTAAACAAGAGAGTGGTGGACACTACTTATAGGGTCACCAGAGTGCACAGTGCCCTATAATTTGGCAATAGAGGTGGACACTACGTATGTAGTGTAGGCTTCCCCATTCAATGGAGGTGAACGCGGCCAGGATACCTGTTGCGTGAACCTCGCACGGCGTCGGATGACGAGTGCCTCCCGTGGACTTTGCTGCTTGGCTTGTGCTTCATTATCGTTTGCGTTATATTCTTGGTTCTTTCGGTAAAGTCACGTAGAAGGGAAATAATAAAATAATAAAAATATAAAGCAATAAAAATTCTCACGACGTTTCGACTGCAACACAAGCAATCGTCATCAGGTGTGAAATTCACAGCAAGAACATTTTTTAAAAAGTGGCGGTTTTTATTTATTTTATTTTATATTTTATTATTTCCCTTCTACGTGACTTTACCGAAAGAACCAACAATATGAATCCCTGCAGTCACGAAAGCTTAAAATCAAAATGTATCGTTTGCCTTGTTCCCTTTCAAGAGCTGCGTCCGTGCACGGAGGAGAGACGACGCGCTCTGAGATGGAGGCAGTGGAGGCACGGGGGTCCACAGCAGCTGTAGCAGCAGCAGCAGCAGCTGTGGCTGTCCTCCCGCCACCCGCGGGGCAGGACAGCAAGGAGGAAGAGGTGAGCTTCCTCTGCGCGCCCCCCACTCTATTGTGTGCTGCGCTCCGAGCGGGTTCCGCTCCGAGCGTGCTCTTGGCTCGGTATTCCCAGGTCATTTGGTGAGGTTTTTTTCGTTGTATAAGCAAAGGGCTGCACTTTTGGGAGGGGGGGGGATGGGTCAGTGGACTGATAGACAAGTTCAACTTTGTGGCACGGCAAACTACATAATTTAACACGTGTATGCTTTTGGGTCTGATCGTTTAGTATGAAAACTACATCATGGATGGCATAATAGACGTCGCTGCTTAGCTAAGCGAGTGGTGAGTACGCAGGCATATCTGAGTGTAGTATCGGTCTGAATGATACTTATACTACAACATAATAATACATTTGATAGCTCTTTGTAAAATCTACTGTTTGACGAAGGCCCTCTCCCACGCCATGTCGTGGTTGATCATACTTCACCACGTGGGTCTGTGCAGGTTGGTAAAGGGATGGAGGGCACCCAGAACCGGTTAAGATATCACCCGTCACTGGCGTTGGCCATGGCTGGGAATTGAACCTACGATTCGTGGGTTCATAGTGCAGCGCGCTAACCACTGCGCCACCGCTCCACCGAGTATGAATGTACCGCTGTCCTTCATAGCAAACAATGATTGCCAATTCCGTTTAATCTCCATTGACTTTAACAGTCCTATTTTTATTTCAACTGTGATTTATTTCATAAGGCTTACTGAAGCACCAACAATTAAAATGCTGTCCATCACTCACCCGAAGCCTGGCAATTTTCACAGCCTCACAGCGACATAAATGTAGACATTGCTTAAAATATTCTGAATTGCTCATTCACTGCAGTTGGTAATCAGTGGAATCAAGAAGGAGGTTGTGCCTCTACGGTGTAATTAACTAGGCCTTGATTTTTAATGTGCCTAAAAATAATCCTCAAGGCAGTGTTGATTGTCAGATTGCTTACCAATAACAAAGAAATAATCATCAGCCAGCTCAATGAAGGCCTTTCCAAACCACTTCCATCTCTCGAATCCTGCGATGCAACAATCCACCCCCTTCACCTACACATGAACTTATTGTATCGCTCCATCGCCTTCGTGAACAACACCAGACGTGTCCCATTCCCTGGGAGCCACTTCACAGCAATAGGCGACTCGGCTGCTGCTCCTGACTCCGTTATCTGGGCACGACCACCTGAATGTCAAATTGCAGTTGTTGCTCTGCATCAGCATCAGCAGCCACACGAAAGAAGAACAAGACTTTATTATAATTCTTGACCATCGTCCATTGTTCCTTCTTGCGTTGTGTCCTGCCTAAGCCTACTTGATTTTCATCACAGTTCTAACGATGTCATTAACCCGCATACATTTCTAATCCACGCATTCATTCCTCCTCCTGCCTCGCGATGTCATTCCAAGCGAAGCATCTCTTCGTGCCAGTTCTTTGTGCAACTTTCTTTCAGTTTTTTGCAAAAAAAAAATTGTGAAACGAATGACCATGTTTCTGAACCACATGTCATGACCGCAATATATATTTTATTAATAACGCAAGCGAAAGAATGCACGTGAATATAAATCATCCATAGGCATGTTTTTTTCAACAGCCGCACACATGTTGCGCCTGAGTCGCCACTGCATCGGGATGCTTTCAGAGAGACCCAAAAAAAAAACCCAAATTATTTCCCCCCCCCCCCTCTCTTTCTCTGGACTTCATTGTGAGCTTCTGGTGACGCCACGAAGCACGCATGGATTAATGCGTGACTCATGGTAATTACGGCGTGGGCCCGTACAGTGCGCACACGCAGTCATTGGCAGCGATGTGGATAAGCTCCCAACTCTACGATTGGGACCCGCGTCTCGACATGGTGGACGGTGACTGATGCGAGGCAAACCAGAGATAATGGCGAATGTCTGGTCCATCAACAACGCCCGTGCGACACAGTTTAGAGATTGTATGCCAAACAAAGCAGTGTGGGTTTTTTTTAACTTGTAAATGGAATAGAGGTGTATAAACAAGAAGGATGTTCTCTGGACATCTCATAAGCTAGACCAGATCCCCTCAATCCAACAGAGAGTACAACTTGTGTCGCTGTTACTGCACATCTCTAGACTCGGATGTGTTTCCGTTTGTAGACGTATTGATCGGCGCGATGTCGAACGTTTGGCTCTACGTGATCGGAGCCTCTTCGGGAACTTCTTTGGCACGATGTCCGATGTCTCGCTCGTTGGACAATTGGGGAGCGTTTGGGAAAATAGGTTCGTGGAGAAGCTCCCAGAGCGAAACGTCGGGCGTCATGTCGAACATCACGTGGTGGCACTACAACTCTGAAAACACCACGGAGAGCCGTGCAGCGCAAAGCTACGCAGTTGTAATTCCGACGGATTATAACGGATTAGTCTCCTCCACAGAGTCATCTTACGTTTCTCTGTTTATTTAGATAAGCAACATTGTTAATGTCTATTAACATTGCAGACAGCTGTTTGCAGACGGCTGTTTGTGTGTTGTCTGGTATTGTAAATATTACGGCGAGTGTCGTGGTGGGTATTTTAATGGAATCAAGACCACTGCATCCTCTACAGCAGAAAGGCAGCGATTCACCAGTGTGTTGTGCATGTGGTTTTGATTTAGAAGTACAATACAGCATCGCATTTTCTATGGAATATTCATTTTAGTGTTCACAAATGGCACAGAGATGTGTGCAATAGTCCGACTGCTGCACTACGTTACGTTGCACTCAGCACTGCCGGATGAAAGCCTCCCTATGCCATGCCTGTTTTGGGAGTTGTTTGACCATACTTCACCATCCTGGACAGTGAGGGTTGTTTGACCATACATCACCATCCTGGTCAGTGCTACGTACACGGCAAGGTACTTCCTAGATCATCATCGTCAGCTCTGATGAGTCCACTGCTGGATGAAGGCCTAGGCAAGCCATCTGTCGTGGTCCTGCGATGTAATCGTCCACCTACCAGCACCTGCAGAGCACCAGCTGATTCCATCGCTCCACTTCACAAATTACACTCTAAATCTGTGGTAGTTGCATGAGCTACCTTACACAGTACACAAACTCACGATGATGTGTAACATATATACACGAGGCAAACGTGTCTGCTCTGGATATATCGTCACCCTCACCAAGGAAATGTAACAATTTCAAACGGCGTGTGGTGGTTTGCAAAATGTTTGGAGGTTGGAAAGGGGTGCGCGCAACCGAGAAGGCTGGGAACCACTGCTCTGGAGGTTACGTTGTCCTGCTGGCCACACATCTTGGAAGAGGTGGCAGCAACCCACAAGTTTGATATATTAAATTAAATGCATTGTTCTAGGCAGCTGATGTTTGAGACAGCATATTAACTCATTGCCATCACACACACACACCTGTGAGGTCCGCTCCAAATGTTGAATACAAATCCATCTCATAAATATGGAATTAAGCGAATGCAGAGGTGGCTTGTTGGCCTAGGGTCACGTGTCAGGGAAGTGAGCCATCACCCTCAATCGTCCGGGTTCGCAGTGGGGACAGACAGAGCAATAGCTGTGCATCGCTTTCCCTGCCGTGGAACGGTTCTCATGAGTCGGTCAGCCCGGTTGCCATTTGATGCACAATTTCCCAAGAGACGTTAATTTGTGCTTGCTTTGGCCAAAAGATTCCGTGTCAGCACACAAACGTGGTGCAGCAAGTTTGTTGGAATTATGGGGAAATTGTTACGATTAGATAGTGGGAAAAGCTGTTTAGTTTTAAGTCCCAGAATGTTTCAGTCATGTAAAGTGGTGTTGCATACTGCAGCCGGCAAACATAACTGTTGGCAAAACTTAAATTAAACTTAATATATACTTAAGAATATAATAACAAACTCACGGTGGATGTGTGTTGAAGTGCAAATAGCTGCAATATAATTTTACCCAGCCAAGCGAAATGAACATTGGCTCAGAGTTCAATATTTTCTTACGTTAATAAATAAATAGCACTTAAATGAACACGAAAAAAATTAAGTAAGTTGCATACATTTTCTCTCATTCAAAAAGGGAGCGATATCTTAATCTCAGCGTGCATACATCAGCATGTGTCTGGGAAAATATACTCGCGTACAACAGGAGGTGCATGATTAATAGGTGTTCTTGTTTATGCTGACATGGCCAAATAGGCCTGGTCCATTCCTGTGCCATTTATACAACTCTAAAATGTTGCCTCTTTGTGGGAGGAACTGATGTTGTCTATTAATAAAAATTAGCATGTCAAATGCCTCATATTTCACATTTAAAGCGTTACTTTTCTGCGACAGTTTACATGTCATAACGTCAAAGAAGAACGTGGATTTCATGTCCAACATAAACTTATGTTGCACTGTATTCTTGGAATAAAACATTAAGATGGAATCACATGATTTCTTTATACCCAGGAATGCTTCACGGAGTCTCAAGACTTTAATGCAAGTGCTGCTTTGGGTTATTTTTAAGTACAGTCACTTTAATTTCACTGCACTGAGAGACCAAAAGAGGAACCCATTGGTGAGAGGAATCACAGTCAGTTTTAGGAGCATAATTTTAAAATGTTAAGAGAAGTTATTGGGCTTGAGCAGGACACTTAGCAAGAATGGATGATGGCTAATGGTCAGGAATAGTGACGGAGTGGTAGCCAAGGAACGGAAGGCATCCGTGCGGACAGGCACTACGGAGATGGAGTGATGAAATCAGGCGCGCGAGTGTTACAGTGCAGAACAGTGAGAGATGGTGACGGCTTGGGGAGGCATTCACGCAGCAGTGGATTGATCTTGGCTGATGGTGGTGATGAACTTTTAGTACGTGAGAGGAACGCGGAGTTCAAGGAGAAAACCCCGTACATTTGAAGAGATAACACTCCCAGAAAAGTTTCCGCATGCTTTGGACACAAGGGTTGTGAGATGGCTATCGATGGGTAGTCCAGAAATTGGTTTCATGACCCCATCAGTGCGGGCCTTTGAGTTGTATCGCTTCATGTGGGTGTGTTTTCTCTTGAGAACTCGAGTTGCCTT